CCTAATTTTTTGTAATCACCTCTAGTACTGGAGTATTGGGGATGGTAAGTCTTGCCTCAGATCTTCAGTTCTCCCCTCTAGCCTGGAATCAAAGCCAAATCTCCAGCCTCCAGTGAGTTCCTACAGCTGTGTGCTAGTTCCTTCTCTCCTCTGTGCCCACCGCAGCACAGCTGGGTCTATCTTTCCTTGTCAGCAGAGGTTCCCTCCATTTTCCCTGGCTCAGATGCCCAACCTCCCTCACTCTCCCAGGGGTAAAAATTCCTTTGGCTAGGGCTGAGGCAGCCTCCCAACCCAGCTAACTCCAGGGCTTGCTGCTTGTTAAAGCTAAAAGGGACCCTAGCCTACAGGTATTTACTCTTCACTGGGACCAAACCTCAAACTGGGATTTTTCTTTAAATCTTCTCGGATTGTCCCAGGAGGACAGCTTTTGTGTCCCTATTCTTATTTATTTTTAACTGATCGTTGTTTTCCCTGAGTGCTGTTTTATCTCTTTTTTGGGGGAAAGTCTTGAGAGCTTGGAATTTTCTGACTTACTCCAATATCTTCCCAGAAACCTCCACCCTGTAAGTGTTTAATAAGTGACCGTTGTTCTCTCCCCCTCTCCCTCCCCCTCTCCCTCTCCCTCTCCCTCTCCCTCTCCCTCTCCCTGTCTCTCCACATATATATATATATATATATATATATATATATATATATATATATATATATATATATAATATATTATATATATATATATATATGTAAAACAGTCATGACAATGCAAATCCTTCATACTTAGAAATTTGAGTACATTAATATCAAATAAATGTCATATTAAATAATTATTGTGTTTGTAGCAATGGCAGACTCTAGTCATATAGGAATGCTGCTCTATTTTCACCATTACGTAGTAAGACTAGCTTCTTAAAGTGTAAAAAGATATCTTTTTTGTTCTGAAAATGGAGTTTTGTTTTGTTTTGGAATTGATATGGTTTAAAAATAAATTTTATTCTTATTTTTCCTCTTCTGTTACCTTAATTTACAAATTTCTTGCTGAATTTCATTGTTGACTATTACTGTAGACTATTATACCACATTCAAAATTAAAAGGGCAAAAATTAGGTGATGTTCCAAATAATATAGTTTATGAGCTGTCTTTTTGTATTGATAATCTTTCATTATGACCGGACTGAATTTTTAAAAACAAATTCACACACTCAGTGGAGGCTATCCCCAGTCATAACAGAGAGGTGGGAGAGTATATTTGACAAAATTCAAAATCCTTTTAAGATTCATGTGTTCATTGTTTATATCAAGCCAATAGTTTTTATTGCCACAGTTAATTTATCCTCAATAAAATTCAATTTCAGTCTCTTAAAGAAAAAGACTTGTAAAATCCTCAAGAAAGAGGCTTTTTGAAAGCAAGAGTTCTCTCAAAGAATGATATTTGGTAATGGAAATGGGAAGGAATCCCAAACACATGAACTGAATTTTGTGCGTGAGAAACTGAAGCTTCATAAAGAAGAGGGTGCACCCATGATTATTTTTTTTCAACATGTCTTTAAAAATGTTTTATTAATGCTTTTTTTTATTTTTCTATCACATTCCTTGCAAAATATGACAACTAAATTCCCTATTGCAGTGGGCTTTCTCTTATAAGAAAAAATAAAATAACAGTTGAGCAAAAACAGCTGATCTATTATTTGTATCTTTTAGCATGTATACACATTACACCCCCATACTTAACCAATTCTATAACAAAAGAAGGAAACTATTTCTTCATCTCTTCTCTAGGGCCAATATTGGTCAAACCATCATATTCTAAATTCGTACAACATAGATAACAGACTAAAAGTCACCCAGGTTTATATATTTGGGTTCTCAAGAATTAAATTAAGGGTATAGAGTAGTTATAATATTTAATCCCGAATGAATGTATGGTCTGAAGCAGTTCTGTTAAACTCAGATAGAAACAATCCCAGCAGGCTGCATATTGACTTAGAAAACCACAAATTAACATTACGTTTGTTGTATTGTATTTTTATTTATTTTATTAAGCATTTCCCAATTACATTTTAATATAGTTCAGGTTCACTCAAGGGTACTGAGGGGCCCCGGTGTGTCAGTCACCTGTGGTCTGAGGGCTATTCTATAGATAGTTTTAAGCAAAAACATTTTATCAGCATAATATTTTGTCAGTTTGTTCTTTTAAATATCATGGTAAATTATGTATTTCATAATATGGATAAAGGAGATGAAATTTAAATGGTTATTTTATATTAGTAATTTATCTTTTTTATTATACAAAGTCAAAATATAATTAACATGTGGACATTCATTTTTTTTTATAAATGATATAAGACTAGTTAATGCTATTCAAGCTCTGTTCTATAGAAAAACCTAATGGATCTAAGTAATTTGCCTACATATTTCCATTTATTTATTCTTCTTCTAGTTTCTCTCATAATTTTAAAATATCACCAATGATAATTAATACCATCAAAATAATTAAGCTATGAAAGAGCTTTCAATTCATTATCATCTTTACCCTCCAGAATTCAATAAGCCTATAAATCTGTGTCATATGTACAATCTTTGGACTATTTGGTGAAATGTCAGTAAATTCTGGTCAAGACAATATGAGAGTTTGATAATGCTTTCAACTTCCCCATTAGGAATGAGATGCAAAAGTTATTGTTTTACCCTCAGTATTTCAATTGAATCTTTCATTAAGTGATACACATATGCATTTCATAAAAAATGTATAGATATATTGCACTTACTGAAAGCATGAGACAATTTTAGAAGTTTGGCCCCACACTCTGCTTTCTTCTTATCTTTTAAAAACAGACAATAACATCATAAAAATATATTTATTCCTTTAGGATTTACAAACCTCTTTACATATATTACCTCATTTAATCCTCACAAAAACTCTGTGAAGTAGGTGCTTCAGAGAAGTTACAGTCACATAGCTAATAATTATTTGAGGTAGGATACGAATTCAGGTCTTCCTAACTCTATCCACTGTACCACCTAGCTGCCTTAAAATAAAATAGGATCATCACATGAAAGAATTTTCTAAATCACTAATGACAGAAATAAAAATCAAAACAATCCTGAAGCTTTATTTCACATCTTGCAAAATGACAAAGATGGCAAAAGATGGGACTAGTCAATGTTGTTGAGTAGTTGTGGAAAGATTGGCTCACTAGTGCATTGTAGGTGGAGTTGCGTGCCGATGCACAACCATTTTGGAAAGCAATTTAGAATTATGCAAATAAAATGATTAAATGTCCACACTCTTTCATTCAGAAATTCCATTACAAAGCTTATTCCCCAAGGAGGCCATTTATAAGAAGAAAATCCTTATATACACCAAAATATGTATAGCAGCACTTTTTATGATGATAAAGAGTTGGAAACAAAGTAAACGACCATTAATTGGGAAATGGCTAAATAAATTATGGTACATGAGTGTAATGAAATATTGTTGTGCATCAAGAAAGGACAAATGTGATCAACACAGAGAAGCATCAGAAGATGGGCATGAACTGATGCAGAATAAAAAAAGCAGAACCAAGAAAACATTATACACTGTGACTACAACAATATAAAAGAAAATAACACACCCAATATTAAAAGTAAATATTACAAAATTACAAAAAACAAACATGGCTTGAAACAAGAGATATGAGAAGACCCTCTTACTCCTCCACCCCTTTGCAGAGTAGGAAGTACACAGGTACTTCACATTGCAAGTAGTTTCACACTTTTTTTCAACATATTATTCACATGATTACTTTTGTGTCTTCTGTTTCATACTTTGCCTTCTAAATATTATTTGCTCTCTGGAATGGTTCTCTGGGAGGAAGAGGGAGAGGGGAACTGAAGGAAACTGATCACATAAAAAAAATTGATCAATTAAAGCTTTTTTTTACAAAAAAAATCAAGATGGGCACAAAAAAGGGTAGCTTTAAAAATTAATAGAAAACTAGATTTTCCAATTTAAGCTAGAAATACAAGTTTAGAAATATATGCTGTGATAATTGAGTTCACATGTTGCCTTCCATCTGGCCACTCTGCTTCAAATGGCTTCTATGATGTTCTCCACAGAAATTGTTTCTACCCCAAAATCTTAACTAGCTAATGGCCTCAAAATATTCTAAGCCTTGCTCTACCCAGAGAAGCCTGTATCCATCCCATTGCTATTTTTTTTTCCACTACAGAAGAAAGATAAACTTCCTGAGGCTTTAGGAGAAAAAAAAACCAGCAATATTGAGAGGACTGTCTGTCTTTCAAACTCATGACAAATTTGTTTCTTTAATTTTTGCTTTTAAGATGCATAAAACACATGTGCAACACATTTGCTAATTTTTTATAAGGTCACCTTCCAATGCTTTAAAATTAAGTTTGTTGCATTTCTCATTTCCCACCAAAGTTTGTTTCACATATTTCTTATTTCTCAGTGTTTCACATTTCACTGGATAAAGAGTTTGAGAGATGATTTTAGTTGACAGTGTTTTCCTACCTCTATAGAACTTTTTGAAAATTAAGTCCTGTGTAAGACATCCATTAGTGGTATGTTTCTGTGTAAGTATTAAATCATGTTAGTGTTTTAGAACCATAAATATCAAATTATTTGTTAGCACACAGGCAAAATATTTGGTGTGTGTTTAGATGTCTTTCTGTGGCTTAGTGGATACAACATTGAATGTGGAGTCAAGAAGATCTGAGTTCAAATACGAGCTCAGACATTTACTAGTTCTGTGGCATTCTGGAAATTACCTAACCTTTGTGTACCTCAATTTCCTCATCTGCAAAATGCAGATAATAATTGCACCTACTTCCCCATGTCTGTTGTGAGGATAAAATGATATTTGTAAAACACATTTCAAACATTAAAACACTCTCAATGCTAGTTACGGTTCCTGTTGTTATACACTCATACATCTTTATACACATAGACTAAACAAAAGCATATATGTATTTTTATTTACTATTTTTTTTCTCTTTTATAGATAATGTGTAGACGCTTCTACATCAGTCCTTGGTCTTGGCTGTATTCAAAGAAGCTTATTACAAATTTGTGTCTCAAGGTCTGTGGACTTCCAGTTTTAACTGTTTTGTGACTCTATATTCCTTTCTTACATGCCTTGAAATGGTCACATGAACTCCTGAGGAGTGGTATTTGCACCATATCAACTTCTATTCACTATGGCACTTTAGGAGATAATATTCAAAAGCATTTTTAAAATAATTTTTTTAATTTAAAAAATGAATCTTATTGTGAAGGTTCGAAGAAGCTTTCGAACATTGATTCTTCTCTTAGCCACCTTCTGCTTGGTAAGCATTGTCATTTCTGCTTATTTTCTCTACACGGGCTACAAACAAGAGGTGACACTTATTGAAACCACCACAGGGGCAGAATGTGCTGACCTCAAACTTCTACCCTACCGGTCAATGGAGTTGAAGACAGTCAAACCTATTGATACATCGAAGACAGACCCGACAATTCTCTTGTTTGTGGAAAGCCAATACTCTCAGCTTGGCCAAGATATTGTAGCCATCTTGGAGTCCAGTCAATTTCAGTATCACATGGTCATTGCTCCAGGCAAGGGAGACATCCCTCCTCTTACTGATAATGGCAAAGGAAAATATATATTGGTTATCTATGAAAATGTTTTGAAATATGTTACCATGGACTCATGGAATCGAGAGCTTTTGGAAAAATACTGTGTGGAGTACAGTGTTAGTATAATTGGTTTTCATAAAGCCAATGAGAATAGCTTACCAAGTACAAAATTAAAAGGTTTTCCCCTGAACCTTTATAATAACATAGCCCTAAAAGATTGTTTTGTAAACCCTCAGTCTCCTTTGTTGCATATTACCAAAGCACCAAGGGTTGAGAAAGGCCCACTGCCTGGAGAAGACTGGACTATTTTCCAATTCAATCATTCAACCTATCAACCTGTTCTCTTAACGGAGTTACAGACTTCAAAGCCCATTGAAGTTCCCTTGTCTAGTACCAATCTGTATGCTACAGTGATTCAGGATTTGGGGCTTCATGATGGGATTCAGCGTGTCCTTTTTGGAAACAACTTGAATTTTTGGCTGCACAAGCTCATTTTCATAGACGCCATCTCTTTCCTGTCAGGAAAGAAGCTCACATTGTCATTGGACAGATATATCCTTGTTGACATTGATGACATCTTTGTTGGCAAGGAAGGAACAAGGATGAATATCAAGGATGTAAAGGTAAGGAAAAGTCGTAGATAGAGCTTTTTTGTCTCATCAGTTTAAAAATGTTCATGAGAGATAATTTAGAGTCAGCTACTACTAGAAGATATTAAAAAAAAACTCATGAAACAATTAGATTGGAAAGATATTAATGTGTTTGTTTTTGATCTTGTACCAGACATACCTTCCTCTCACAGATGCTTTCCTGTATGTATTCATGTAAAGAGGCAAATATACCAAAAACTCACAGAGGTCCATAAACCTTCTATCCTTCCTCTTTATCCAGGGAGCACTGTTAGGACCTACAGTACCTTGTCTTATTTTTACGACCACATCATACAGTTTGGAATGATATACTGGATGCATCCAAAGGGTTTTATCAATCAGCTATCCTAATTTTTATTTCTTTTCTGAAGCCAGCTGAGGTTGACAGGAGAACAAGGCAGTAAACCCCCCAAAATGTTTAAGAACTTCAGATGCACAGAATGTCTTGCTTCATTTATTCATTGAACAAAAGATTATTAAGGACCTCCTGTATGTAGTGAATTATCCTAGGTACTGAGAAAGGCATAAAACATGATCTTTATCCTTGAATATTTTCAAAACCAAGATAAATGATGACATGCCAGTGAGTGAGTGCATTGCATCTAATAATATCATAATTTCATTAAAAAAAGGTACCAGAAAAGTGCTCTGAGATCAGAGGAGGGGAAAGGGATCACTACTGGCTCACTAATTAAAAGGGAAAATGTACTTCTGTTATCTATGGAAGTGTTCAGAAGTATGTTATCATGGGCTCATGGAATCAAGAGCTTTTAGAAGAGAACCATGTGGAAGATAGTTTTAGCATAATCAGTTCCGTAAAGCCAATGAAAATGGTACGAAACTAAAAGACTTTTCCTTGAACCATTAGAACAACATAATCCAAAGATACCCTTTGTAAACCCTTGTTCTCCATTGTTGCATGTTCTCAATGCACCCTTATCCAACTTGGAAATTAATAGAAGTAGTGATTGAAGTTTGTTCTTGAAGGATTCAAAGTCAGAATTGTGAGGAGAGACCATTCAAGGCATAGGGAATGATGTATACAAAGGAAAAGAGGCAAGAAAGCATGTGGCAGGTCCAGGAGACAGAAAATAGACCCATTTCAGTGGAGCAAGGTCAAACTGTGGAAGAACAATAGAGCTATATTGAGATACACATATGGTGTGCTTATAGATTTGTATATTGTTCTTAGCAAGAGGGTTTGCCAGCATGCCTAGAATTGGAAATTACATTCTAGCCTTAAGAAAGGCAGCAAACTTATAGTTGGTATTACAATTTGCTTTTTGTTAAAGTCAATGTTCTTTGAGAGGGTGGAAGCCAGGAAAAGGGTATGTCATACATGATCAATATGTGTGAATTTCTGATAGCCCACTTCATAGTCCAAGCTCTTTATGTGCATATTATCTTCCTACATAAACCTAAGATCCTTTCTTTAGGGTAGGGGGACCTCATATATGTCATTGCATCTCTAAGTACACCTTTACATGACATTCCATATATGCTCTGATCACAGCTGCCTACTGTGAGACCTCCTTTATTCTGGTCACTACAATTCTATTAATGTGACCTAACATCTCATTAGACTTTCTAGCTTCCCCTGCATCCTTGTTGCCTCATATCAACTCCATAGTCATTTTTCATGTGAAGAATGTCTCCCTTATTTTTTACTTGAATTTTTGATTTTTTCAACTCAAATTCCAAAGTTTGCATTTATTCCTATTGAATCATATGAAAGAGGTTCAAGGACATATTAAAACTTAGAAATGGGTTTGCAGAGTAAAGAATTGATGGAATGTGAGTTATTTGCTTCAAAGCAAGATTTCAAAAAATCTTAAAAAGTCCCTAAAAAGACTCTATAAACTTACTTGAAACTCATTGTAACAATTCAAAACATTCTTTTAATCTCTAAATTAAATATTTCTGTGGGCATTCTAAATGCTTCCCTGCTTATCTTTTCTAAGTGGAACAGAAAATAGCCACCTACCATTACTGCCCCCTGCCTTTTTTTTTTAATGAGATGGAGAGAGGGTCTGGACCTGTCATTTTATCATTGTAAGAAACTACCAATGAGGCAACTTTATCCTCCATTGCAAGTCAATAGCTATTCTACAACTTACGCTCTGAGAGAATTTCCTGGAACATTGAAGGCTGGGTGACTTGCCCATGGTAACACAGACAGTATGTGTCAGAGATGGCACAACCTAAGTTTATGACTTGGCAGCCAGACTTACTGTTCATTATGCCTCTTCCCACCGTATAAGTGGTGCACCCTTTAATACGGTATCTTATTTGCCAATGAACATTTAAACTGTACGACATGATTCAGCTTATAATAACAAAATGCCCTGGAGCAAGAACATTGCATTTGATGAAAAAAACAAACAATTATTAAATATGCGGTGTTTGCAAGTTGCTGGGTTAGGCATTAGGGGATAAGTAAGATACAGGCATTATCATAAAGGAGTTTATAATCTACTTTAGAACATTTGGCATTTTTGATGTTCTATGATTGCCTCCAAAACACTAATGTTTATCATACCTCCTTAATACCCTCCCATCCTCTGTGATTCTTGTTCAAGTTGTCTCATATAACCTCTGTAAAGGATCTACCAAATAGCTTTGAAGCTTTTCTCTGGTTCATTTAGTAATTCAGGGATACCAGCGCATTTCTTTCATCCTTGCCACTTACTTCTCCATGTTCTTTTATGGTCATCAACATTAGCAGTCATGTGTCATATACCTTCTTTTGTCCAAGTTGTCCTTAGTAAAATCATTACAGCCCGCTACCACTCACTACTCACCTTTCTATTGCCTTTTGCAATTTTAATTCTTCCAGGATGATGATATGCCATCATTTATAGCCACAATGCATTACCAGTAAAATATTGTGTCAAAGAGATAGGTTTTGATGATAGTAAGGCACCTGAGATCACTACCTGACTACACAACTTTATATATACAATCCAACCTGATCTCCTTGTTGCAATGAATTTTGGACCATATTCATTGTCCTTCAGTAGCATCTAAGTAATATATAAATATTCGCATATACACAATTCTCCTGATATGAGAAAAATAATACTCTTTATCCTTGAGTTAATTTCTTAAGCTGTACCTGATTCTCTACATATAAAGCAGACATAAGTAGAAACAGGGTTGAAACATCAAACTCATCATCTTTTCACAAATAGGCCAGATGAAAGCCTATTTTATATTTAAATTTTTATTTCTTTTTCTAGACTTACTCATAGGGACATAGATTTGGAGCTGAGAAGTACCTTAGAAGTCATCTAATCTAACCCCCTCATTTGACAGCAAAGGAAACAGGCTCAAGGAAGTTATGGGATTTGTTCAAATTATTGATTGGCAGAGCCTGGATTTAAATGTAAATCCCTGACTCCAAGCTTAATGTTCTTTCCCTTACACCGCACTAATGATTTACTTCTTTCTTCTTCCCCAAACCACAATCAAATCAAAAAGTCAGGTTTTTTTACAATATTTCTTGCATCTGTTCCCTTTTTTAACATGTTAACTGCCACCATCCAAGTCTTCTCTTACCTTTAATATTTCAATAGCCATCTAGTTGTTCCTCTTCATTCTCTTCTATCTTCTTAAATCTCAAAGGTTGGTGGCATAACTATATTATATTTTAACAAACTATAAAATAAATTGATTAGTAATTGATGCTAGATAAATACAAACCTCCATAAGCCTTGTTTCCTCAACTCTAGAATGAAGGAACTAAACTATATGGCCTCAGGTTTCATCCAGCTTCTAGATTTATGATACTGTCTTATGATCAGAGGAGTTTATATCCAGCTGGAATAAAGCCATGTAATAATTTATCTATGTCCAAAAATTCACTTTTGTAAATCAAGTTGAATTTGCCTGTAAAAGTAAATGCCATATATAATATTTGGGGCATTTTCCTAAATGTTTCATATTTTCTTTCACATAGAATTTGAAGTAAGAGTATTATAAATAGATTTAACTCTAAAAGATCCACAGATAACCCTCAGTACCCAGTCAGAATGGCACAGTAACTATACGAGAGATAGACAAGGATGTGAATGGATGATAATGGTAAACTTTTAAACATCATTGGAAATTTAAGTTTGGTATTCAGGATATTGTCCTCCTTGCTTCTAGAAAATGGCAAAATAAATAAATTTTTTAAAATGCCCATTTTGAAGCACGGCAAAGAAAATCTTTGCATATCAAGCAGGTCCTTCTTTCATTTAAAAAAATGGCCAAAGTTACTTAAAGTGTCGTTCTTAAAAGAGGAAGGACATGATTGGCCAATGATTACTGGAGAAAGTGTGTAAATACTCAAATACTCAGTTAACCCGAGTTAACTGAGACACATCTTAGTCACCTGGATAGGAGGAACATGCACAATTTCAAATGGTCAAATGTGAATTAGTGCTATCAATGTTTTAAGGGGTGTGGGGGGGGAGTGTTGTTCTAATAATGTACTAACAATATTTCATATAGTTTTAGACCAATATAGTTGATAACATCATAGCACAATGAATAACAGGAAGGAACAGAGTTGGAAGGAAACTTGAAAGTAATCTTGTCTAGTCCTCTCATCTTATAGATCAAAGGTTCCCAAACTTATTTGGCCTACTGTTCCCTTAAAAAAAAATTACTCAGTGCTCTCCTAGAAATCTACTTTATTTAATCCTTTCCTGCTATTTTTGAAATTTGTACCCTTTCAAATATATATAATATAACATATTTACATATATATTAAAATGACATCTTAAATTTAATAATTTATTGTAAATTTATGGGGTTTTTATGCATTGAAATTTTGATGATGCAATATTGTGTCATGGTTCCATATTGTAAATTACACACACATATTCCTGTCAATGCATGCTGGACTTCCCAACAAAGTGTGACATGCTTACCTGCTGTTGGCAGACTTGACCGCAGATTGGTTATAACTTGCGTTTAGTGTGTTTGTT